GTGTATAAATATATATACACGCACACAGCACACACACATACACACACACTCACACACACACATATATATATATATATATATATGTTTTGTGTATATAAAAATACACGCACACACACACAAATATATATATATGTTTGTGTATATAAAAATAGACACACATACCCACATACACATACACACACATATATATATATATATTATATTAATTTTATATTTGCATTTCACACCCATATAACAGGTAGCATCTGCCTCCGAGATCGAAACATTCAAACATACTTCACGTCACACGGGCAAATACTCTGATGCCTTGATGAACAAGATAACTGACCACAATATCGTTGCTCTCTGGGAGTGGCATACAGCGAACTTACGGGGGAAACCGAACGCAATCGAATCACTATCACGGGACCGTCTAGTGACGCTCAACAATATATTTAACCGACCGTTGCAAAGAAACACACAACCGGCACAGCTCAATCGCATTCTGAACTTGAACGCGTTGCAAACCTTGTACAGAAATAGTCCCATTCAGCAGACTGAGGGGATCACACACAACAAAGACACTCAGTACGGTAATATGTTACTGTGCACTCCGGAAGCCTTTGTGTACGATCAGAGCAGGTTGGCTGACAGCGCAGAGCCTATGGTGTTGCGATTTGCAGCGGATCCCACTCAGTTGTCTGCGGCAGAGAATGAGATGACCGAGACGCGCTTCATTATGATGTGCTGTGCAGCACAGGCGGCCCATTTAGTGCGGGTTAAAAAGCCCAAGACGAATCCTACCAAGGCCAAACAGAAGGCCAAAACATCGTGTGAACGTGCAGAGGATGTGGGCGAACTTCATGAAGTCAAAGTGATAGAGAAAGATGATCAATGGGAACTTATGTGCTGCAGAGTGATTGCTGACATCCTTCAAGTGATCGAAACAAAGTTTGAGGAAGGCACGCCACAGCTACTGCGAAACAAGGAGTACAAGAGGACTACTTTGTGTCAGGCGGCATACAAGACACAACTAATGACAGTTACGGAGTGGAAGGCGATGAAGCCCAACAGAAAGCCGGCATGGTGGCCTCTGGCCAGAGGTGAATTGCCACGGAGTGGCTTGTATGTAACCATGGTGAACGATGAACACGCGGGATGTACACCCGCCAAATGTTCCATACTAGTTGGGCAAGGTCGTTTGATTCAAGATCGCTTGAGTACAGAGACTAGCTCAATCCATACCAACGAACTCACCCGTGACACCGTGCCGATGCAGAAGGATATCGGTAGGGTTACGGATCCAGCCGAGGAAGCAGGGACCAGTCGAAGAAGCTCTGTCGACTGTGAGGAGGCAAACACTTGTGCAAATGCAAACGCAACACAATGGTCATTCCCAATTGTCACTGAAGCCATGCTTGCACAGTTCAATAATATCCGCAATTTGGCAAATACAAGTTCGGTACACGACAATGCATCAAAATATGAGCGTTGCAACGAAATTATGAAACAGATAAAGTTGTACTTGACACAATCTAACAAGGTAGACGAGTACATAGAGATGCAGCAAATGATATTGGCAAAGTTGATGAACGAAGAAATTAATAACCAGCTTAAAAACAAACCAGGCGGACGTAACAAACGAACACCTGCATTGCATGAAGGACACCACAACGCAAAGAGAACGACCAAAAAACCCAAACCCAATCAGGCTATGTAGATGGCATCACTACTTGACAAAGAAAAGTCGCACTTAGAATGATTAACTTGCGTTCTCGATTGACTGACGTCTATTGGTTGACTGGCGTTAATTCTCTAAACCCTGAACAACCTGTAAAATATAGTAATAAATGCGTGACTGTACGAGTATAAATACGTGGTAGCGACTCACTGTTCTATACCCAGTATGCTCGTAAACAAGCTGTGCCATTATCAAATATACATATCTGTAATTACCTTGTTGATATACGATAATATGTATTAGACCTTCTCCATTGCAAACTAATCTGTACCCATACACAAGTTGCAGATTCCTTTTTTTTAAAGTGGAGATTAAAGTTTCTCACAGGTGTGTGTTTGTGTGCGTGCGTCTCTCTCTCTGTCTCTCTCTCTGTGTGTGTATGTGTTTGTATATATATATATATATATATATATATAATAAATATATATATATATATATATATATATATATATAATAATATATATATATAATATATATTATATATATATATATATATTATTATTATATATATATATATGTGTGTA